CCCCGCCTCTTCTTCCCCCTTTCCAGCTTTTTTCCCCGTCACCTACCGACCCCGCCTCTTCTTCCCCGCGCTGCACGTTTTCTCTTTTTGGTTTGGTTTTTCCACTGCACGTGCGTGCTTTGTTTTAAGCTAACTCTCGACCTCTCCTGAATCTGGTCGCGCGACCGGCGCCTTCTCCTGTCACGTCCTTGCCACGTACGTACCTACCCCCTTCCAGCTTCCTCCCGCCAGCCACCTACCTACCTACCGGCTCTTCTTCCCCGCGCCCTGCACACGTCCTTTATCTTTAGCTGCTACTCTCGACTCTGGCCTATTTCGGGTCGTCCTCCGATCAAGTCGATCAGCACAATATATTCCTGAAATATATTGCTGAAAGATAACCGCCCGCAACGACACAACGCACCGCCACCAGCATCGATATCCCACACGCAATATCAAATGTCCATCTGCCGAAAACCCGAGGCGTCATGGAACATTTGAGTGCGTCGTCCGGTCAATTGATCGATTGATCAATTGATGGATTGATTGATTGATCGATTGATTGATTGAGTGAGTGAGTGAGTGATTGAAGGGAGTGACTGAGTGTCCACGGCATTTGATAGACTCGTCGACTAATACGATCTCAATGGTGAAGGTATCCTCGATGTGGCCAATTGACAGCTGATTGAACCGAGCAGCGCATCAAGAGAGAACGTTTCGATATCGCAGCACGAAGTCTTGATTGGCGCTACAGGCGCTACAGTGTCCACATGTGGCTCGGGATCTCCAGCTCTTGGGGTACCGACGTACCAGTTGCAGCTCCGCCCGCCCGCAAACAGCATGGAAATTTCGCGGATTAAAGCAAAAGAGCAGGAGGGGTGTAGTGAGTGGCCTGCGTGCCGTGGGTTCGCAACTGCCCAGTTCTGTCCGCGGTACTTTCACGTCTTTTACCTTGTCAACACATTTCTCTCTTGGTGCATAAGTAGTGCTCTCTTTTAGATGTCAGAAAGATAGACAGTTCTTCGCATTTGGGGTTTGGTCGTGCCGTGAGTCTTGGAACATTCCCTGCAAGACAACACATAACAAAAATGAAGCGCCACATGTCAGAGTCACTTCGTGGGCAGCGTCGCATCCCCCCTGCCTCCTCTCTCTCTCTCTCTCTCTCTCTCTCTCTCTCTCTCTCTCTCTCTCTCTCTCTCTCTCTCTCTCTCTCTCTCTCTCTC